TATATATATATATATATATATATCGTTTGATGTTTTGTTACTAGGGTATTTATGACAAATTATAATATTATAATAAGAAAATAGGCGAAGAAAAACATATCTCTATGGTCCGCTTCACCAGTGCGTTTCATTGATGCACATTCATTTTAACACTGTCAGTATTTGAAATTCAAAACGGTAACAGTTTTCTTTCTAACACGTGATGTCGGGTATTGTTACTGATATGAAGATAAGTTTCCGAGAGGTGCTTGGGTTAGAAATACTTGTGTCTATGACAGTCTGGCGTAACTTCACGAGGTTTCCTTCAACTCGTAGAGCACACGGAACACTATCGGCTTGTTGCTTCTTTGTCTACCGAATCATTGTTACTGCCTTTTCTCTTATCACATGACTGTTTCTTTTATTTAAAAAATATTTGCCATAATAATGAATTTTTCGCATTATTGGGGCATCGTATTTTGTGAAATACGTAGGTGTCTTTCTATTATGAATTTAAAAACAACATTTTAGGTTATATCATTGAAAAAACAAAAGGAATAATAGGTAAGAAATAAAAATTAATAAATGGAAAAACAGTGTTTTCGCTTGGTAACATCCACTTTCGGATATCCCAGTTTAGAATTATTTCCAATGAAAACGAACTTCTGAAAATATCTATCTGCACCGTACATTAGTTCCTCGCCGATTTTGCTCAATTCATCCATCTCCACGGCGCGGAGTTCTTTGGTCCGTAATTTCTTTAAAATGATCTCGCCCGAGGTAATTGGTAAACCGAGCGGTTTTTTTTGCCGTTGGACGCGTTCTAACCTTGAAGGTTCGCGCGCCGGCGGCTCCTGCTGAAGAGCTGCCTGATTACTGCGGCGCGCAAATTGGACTTCAGCGGAGGCGGCCGCGCGGGAGCCGCGATTTTAATCCCCTGCGGGAGGAGAAGAACTACTTCGCCGCTCGCTTGTTTGCACGCGATTTGGCCGCGAACCACAACCTCACGACTGACGCTGCCTGAGGATTCAATGTGTTCGACAACGAAAGAAGTAAATGTGGGGGTGTTGGATAGAGTGAAGAGGGTGTGGGGGTTGGTGTGCACCTGTTTGGATTGTGCGGCGGAACACTACTATTTAGAGAGTTTCCGTTTTGGCACTGCCCAAATCAAAACGTTTTATACGCAATCTCTGCTTATACATATCTTCATACTCCACATACATCATACCTAACCAACACAAATCTTCTCTTGCCATTAGAGACAGCTTGAGTACCATATGACTTCTGGTCTTTTAAATAGATCTTTTAAAACAGAATTCTGATATTTAATAAATTAAACGTACAATTTTCAAATGATCTATATCATAAGAAAAAAGATATAGTTGGTCATAGTCCACTCAGTGAACGTATTTTATCATCAGTTTTATTTGTATTTTAACACAAATTCACTCTTGCAAGTCGCTTTCCTTTAAAAAAATAATATGACTATAATTTGGTACGTTGAGTAATTAAATTCAACAATAGTAGTTTATGCATTTAGTTTATAATGTTAAACTTTATTGTATGAGTACATGTTTTGGAAACCAGCGACTTTAGGAGTGAGTTTTCAAATGTGTACGAATGTAATAAAGCAACATTATAAACGATTTCCATACTATATTTTTTTGTATAACAGCATTATACATTTATAAGAGAATCAAACTTAATTTTGCGAAACTTCCCTGAGACGACTCGGGTATTTGACATCGTGCGACATAAACTCGGCTGTTCTCTTTAGCTCTACCTCCCCCCGATTCTCCCCGATTCTACGGTGGTCGGCTGTTCCGTTTAGCACTACCTCCCCCCGATTCTCTTGCTACGATTGGCTGATGTGTGATGACGCAATCATTCGTAACATAATATCTAATACGTCATTATTTGTGCCGTAAAATGCCCAATTATAAACGATTTCTTGCAATAGAAAAGGTTATATTATAATGCTGAAATACAAAATATAACTTTTAGGGTTACATTATTAGGTTGATGGTCAGGAAGGCATCTTGGCAATAGCTGTTGCCATCCTCACCGAGTCTCAATATAGGATATCACCGCAGACAGATATGATACCCTTAACGCCAATATCGCCCTCTTGAGCACTAATGCGACTGATGGCGAGAACTAATGGGCTTAAGCCGCTCTCCGCCGTTCGCGAGAGGAGCAGGCGCGAGGCCGCCAGTCAGCGTAATGGTACTAATCGTGCCGAAAATCAATATTTAAGCGGCGGTATCGCGCACCCATGGAGCTTGGTAATGGAGTGGAGCCGAAATTTCAGGTTAATTATAGAGTATTGTCTCTGTCGTGTTACATCATAGTTATTGATGGAGACGTGTTGATGTCATAGAAGTCATAATAATCTGCATGTGGAATAAACCAGTGCCCGAGAGTGCAGATGTAATTCCGATCTGAGATGTAATGCAGGTGCAGCAACGTTGGTTGTTTAAGTACACGAGTGTCAGAGCTGGAGCGTGTAAGTGGGCAGACGTAACGATAGTATTCTTCCGGTATTCAGCATGTCTGCTGAAGGCAAATGCAGCTAATGAGACAGCTGTAATGATACCAGGCGTTATTGTGTGAATTAATAGACTTATATGACTGTTATTTGAATATGTTAATACGAGTTGCTAGTTTCAATGTGTATTTTAAGGGATTGTGGGTTGTGACTAGATTCAAGGAGTAATGTTTTTTGAAGCGAGAAAATAGTTTTCTTTGTGTTTTTCTGCTTCTTAAGATAGAACTCTTCTTCATCATTTCACTTTTATGAAACAAGGTAGTGCAAACATCTACCTTCTTACTGTGCAATATTGGAAGACGCTCTCATCTAGACAATAATTTTAGCCTGGAAACAAAGCAGAGATACCTTTTAAGTTATAGAATGGAAAAGTAAAGATTGTAAATAAATAATTAAATTCTGCATACCTGGTATCGTTGAGAACTTGTAGCGTGGCTGCTGTGTAATGTTTAGCACTGTTTAATAAACGCACAGTGGTCTCGTAGGATTAAAGATTGCCGTTAAAGGGGGTGGGGGTCTAGAAGTAAAGCACCGTATTGTGTGGGTGCAGCAGATTATACTTTAACTAGGTTGACAAGAATATATATTGTTCAATTAAAGTGGCGTGATAGTCGTGCTGTGGGAACGTTTTTGAATGAATAACGTATAATTGAAAGTGGTTGACCCAGGTAAGAGGTAAGTGCACGTTTAAAATAGTGTGTCGCGAGCACGTGAATTGCCGCAGCGTATTGTAATATCAATCGTCAAATAAGAAGCGTAGAACTTTCGTGCATACAGATGACAATTTTACTTTGGTATTATACCTGCTGACAAGTCAGGGAGAGTAATGGATGTGTTAAAAACAAAAGTGTAAACTTCATTTAAATTTGCATGAATGCCGTTGTTGCAACAGTGCCGTGTAATTCAGCGAACCTCGCACGAGACAAAGGTTGCGGAGGACGAGAGGGCGCCACGAACGACGCAGCGTCGACGGTGGCGCCGCGCGCGGCCGGTGCCCGCCCTAATGGCGCGTAATGCCAGTCATTTGTCGGCGGCCGGCGCCGCCGCCGCGGGTTAGCAATTAGCGACGCGATGCTATCGCCGGCCTCCTTCGCCTTCTTACGTCACTGAGTCCGCCGCCGCCGCCATTGCTCTAAATAGCAGGTGCGGCGAAGGAAGCAGGAGAGCGTGTGGAACAGAGCTTGGCCGCCAAGGTCGCAACTCGGAGGCAAGGTCGGGAGGAAGTTTTTATTATTATTATTTTGTTAATAATAATAACAATAGCAATAATAATATATTAATAAAATTTCTCGTGGGCTTAAGCGTCTGTAACTACCTTCCAGTGGATAAAGAAAATATGTGAAATTAAGTTGTTGTTTTTTTACTTTAAATATAATTAAAGGGAATGCCTTAAATATAATTGAAGGTAAATAATGAGTAAAGTCTAGGGATAGGCTACATCATGTTCTTTTTGAAGGCCGTGATCGTGAATCGAATTGCGTTTCTTTCGCGAAGTTGAAACTGACAGCGGTGCATCGACAGATATAGTTTTAGCGACAAGTTGAAGCTTTTAGGATGATGGAGGCACTCAAATCTCTCCTGCTCGAATCAATATTAGGTCATTTAACGGTATGGTATCTGTGAATATGACATGATATGGGGATAATCGGGGATGAAAGGACGAACACAATACAACCTTGCCAGGGGGGGGGGGGCTCGAACCCGCGATTCTTCGGTTCTCTATTCTATTATATTGCTACGGCGCTACTGTTTTTACTATCTCGGCCATCCGGATCGGCTTATTCAAGTTTTTCGAAATGCTGTATGAAGTAAGTTAATGTTCTTGCTTTTTTCCCGTCGAACAATGATCAACAAAATGGATGGCACAAGGGCGTATCATGTACATTGCAGTGTAACAGCCTAAAAGTAATGTAGTGATGGACTGTGAACAGATACGGAGTTTTAGCAGTCATCGCGTTTCCTAAGAAGGCGTGATTACGTACGGAAATGTATCA